CGTTGCTGGTCCCGGTCTGGTACGGGCGCGACACTGAGGGTTGCGATCCGTTGCCGGTCACGAAAAAAGACAAAAAGGAAGGAAAAAAAAAAAGCCATGACATGACTGGGACAATTGGGAAAATTTTTATGTGGACTATATAGGAGTCAGAGATATTCATATTAAATTTCATTGGGTGAGAATAGTATTGGGGTATGTAGGCGAATGCCTTGGTTGTTATGGGATGCACACTGAAGTGTGTAGCAGTGATGGGTTATTATGTCTGCAACTTACTCTCAAATGGTTTGCCCAGAAAATTATATATAAACACACCCATGCTGAAGGCAGATGTGGTGAAGTGTCACCAATTGTTCAATCCAGGTGAAAGGGATACAGATGTTCATTATACCATTCTTTCAAGTTTCCTGTAGATTTGAAATTTTCCAAAATAAAACGTTGGGGCAGGAAAGGAACAGCAAACACTTTGTGTCACAGTTGAGGCTGCCGTAGACGTCAAATGCTGGATTCCTCTTCTGGGTCCTTCTTTCTATATGAAGATCAGAGGCTTCCACCAGACTCAGAGCAATAATATTAGTCACACATAATTACCCTTCTAGAGGTTTGAAAAATGTGTCTGGCCAACTTATTGGATGCAGTTTTTATCTAAAACTCTTTACATTGTACTGCCGACTCAGCCTTCACGGACCCGAGAAACACACTTCTGTTTAGACAGTCGTAACGTGGTCCTAATAAAGTCATCATTTTGGAGGATTCAGAGAAGGCGCCCAAGGTGGGAGAGCATGATTAGTTTTCAGGCAGCCTCTGCAAGTTAATAAGTAATTAACATTTATTGAGCACTCACCATGCCTCAGGCCCTTTTCAGGTATTGATTCATTTTTTCCTAAAAACTCGTTAGAGGTAGATGCTATTATTACAGAGAGGCTGAGCAACAGAGATTAAGCAGTTCACCCAACGTCACATTATTAGCAGAGCTGGGATTCGAGCCTAGTCTGGCTATGGAATCTGTATTCCTAATCACCATGCTATACTGCTTAAAGTTAACCTTGAGGATTTACTCCAGTCACAGAGAGTTTTTATCTCCCTGAAACTGCACCCGGTAAACCATAATAATAAGCTAATCAATAGGCTGGGTATCTTTTTTGCTCAAATTTTTCTCTTGAAAAAATTTAAACCCACTAGAAAGATCAAAGAGTTAGTACAATGGACACCCTCGTATCCTTCATGTGGATTCAGTTGTTAACATACTCCTTTCTTTCTGTCTGTCATTCTGTCTCTCTGGATGGACCATTTCAAAAATGTTTCAGAGGGCCGGCCCGGTGGCGCACCACTACAGTGCATTGCTTGGGAGCGCGGCGGCACTCCCGCCGAGGGTTCGGATCCCACATACAGACCGGCCGCTCACTGGCTGAGCGAGGTGCGGACGCAGCACCGAGGGTTGCGATCCTGTTGCCGGTCCTGGTCCGGTACGGGCGCGACACTGAGGGTTGCAATCCGTTGCCGGTCATGAAAAAAGACAAAAAGGAAAAAAAAATGTTTCAGATATAATAGTACTTTGTGCCTAAATTCAAGGACATTTACCTATATAACTACAATAACTATTAACACACCAAAGGATTAACTTCCTGCACAATGTTACCTAATAGTTGATATTCAAATTTCCCCAGTTGTCTCAATTATATCATTTATTTTTAACAGTTTTTTAAGGTATAACCAACATAAAGTAAATAATCTGTATTGATATATGTATGCACCAT